TTCCTAAATAACATGACTCTGGAAACTATGACCTTTGATAAATGTCAACAGTTGTAGAGGGGCTTCAGGCCTTTTGTTCATAGAGTCACTATGAGTTATGCTCGACTTGAAGGCAATCAATAACAACTACAATGCAATTAATGTTTTAAAACCAAATGTATATGATTGCATGAAAAACAAATGGGATTTGCAAACTTTGCCTCAAAATAGAAGAACTCTTTACAGATCTTTCTTAGATTGGCTGGTGGATTCCAGCTGTCAGTCTTTTGCCTAACAGTCTAATGCATTACTCGGTAGGCCACCAAGTCTCCTTAGGAGGTTCTAGTAAGAAGGAAATTAGACCTGATTCTCCCCTAAGACTTGCTATTTAGAACTTTGCAGCTTTGACCAAATCAGTGGGCCTCCTGAACCTCAATTTTCTCATCTGTAAAATGGCCTCATAACTTTTTTTTTGGTCTCTCAGTATAGCAGTAATTAAGTCTCAATAGAGGAAAACCTACCGTGACAGTTACAAAAATCTAAAGAGCAGTCAGGGTTTTATTCCTGAAAACTGTTGCTTTACCATGAATATCTTGTTAATGCTAATTGGATTATGAATTCCTTGAGTGCAGGTACCCTTATTTAGTCAGCAAATGTTCGTGGAACTCTAGTGTGGAAAGCCACAGTCCCTGCCTTTTCTGAACATGCTTATTAAATAAAAGAGAGGCTTATATAGGATTATGTCTTGTAACATTCCAGTAAGAACTTCAGATTGGCTCATCTTGGTTCAGTCATGGCTTTGGCTGACAAAGAGAAGATGAAATGACCCTGAGTTTGTAAAATATCATTCTGGAACAGTATACCCACATTTTACAATGTGTGTCTGTAGTGATTTCACTCTGCTGGCTATGAATGACCTGGTTTGAAGCCCTAGTTCCAATGTTCATTTTACATACCTCCCCAGAATTTAATAAAATACTATATTCATGGAATCCATGCATCAGGAGTTTGGAAAGAGAATAGCATGAATGGCCTGTCTTTGTGCCATAAGGTCTGGAACCTTAGCTTGAGGTACACTGAATGGTGACTCAGTGGTTGGAAGTTTAAGCCATCTGAAGACTTACCCTCTCTTACACACGTCTAGCTGTACCTGTCACCCAGTACTACCTATATGTGTCTGTCCATGGGGGCTGCTTGGGCATCCTCACTCTGGTGGCTGGATTTCAAAATGGAGAATCCCAAAGTGAACAAAGTAGAATCGGGTAACAGTTTCACTGTCTCACCTTACAAATCACATAGCTTCACTTTTATCTGCACTTGTCTCTTAGGATCCACATAGGTCTGCTTGGTTTCAAGGAAAGATGTCATAGAGCCACCACTCAAGATACGGGGAGGGTTGAGAAGATATGGGATGGGAGTTAGTGTTATGACCATCTTTTGGAAACCAGACTTGACCAAATGGCTTGGTAGAGTCTATGAGCAATAACATGTGTGCAGTTTAAAAAAAAAGTTACCTTTTGGTCTGGAAACAAAGACAGTCCTCATTATTTTTGGCTTCCATATTTATGATTCATCTTGCTATTGTTGTTGTTATGTGCCGTCGAGTCGCTTGCGACTCATAGCAACCCTATGTACAACAGCCCTAAACTTTGCTCTGTCCTGTGCCAATCGCACTGTCTCTGACACTCCCATCCTGATTATCCCAGTCACTGAATCAATCCACCTCATAGAGGGCCTTCCCCTCCTCCTGCTCTGTCCCTCCACCCTCCCAAGCATGATGTGCTTCTCCAAGGACAAGTCTCTCCTCACATGTCCAAAGTATGTTAGACGGAGGTTCAGAATCCTTGCCTCCAAGGAGCCACCCGGTTTAACCCTTTCCAGGACAAATCTGTTTGTTTTCCTAGCAGTCCATGGTATTCTCAATACTCTTCTCCAGCACCACAGCTCAAAGGCATCAATTCTCTTCTATCCTTCTTGGTCATTGTCCAACTCTCTGATCCATAACAAGTGATTGCAAAGACCATGGCCTGTATCAGATGCACCTTAGTATCCAGAGAGACACCATTGCTCTTCAGTACTTTGGAGAGGTCCCTAACAGCAGACTTTCCCATGGCAGTGCGCCTTTTAATTTCCTGGCTGCTGGTGCCAAGAGTGTTGACTATGGAGCCAAGCAAACTAAAGCTGTGTACAATCTCAATCTCTTCACCATCCATCCTGATGCTGCCAATTGGTCCAGTGGTGAGAATCTTTGTCTTCTTGACATTGAGCCTCAATCCATATTGTAGGCTGCAGTCCTTGACCCTCTGCAGCAGGTGCTTCAGGTCCTCCTCAGTTTCAGCAAGCAGGGTTGTATCATCCGCATAACGCAGATTGTTGATAAATCGTCCACCAATCTTGACCCCACATTTCTCCTCATAGAGCCCAGCCTCCTGGAGAATCTGTTCTGCATATAGGTTGAAAAGGTATGGAGATAGGATGCATCCCTGGCGTACTCCCTTCCCAATTTTGAACCATGCAGTGTTCCCTTGCTCTGTTCTGACGACTGCCTCCTGGTCCAAGTATAGGTTTCGCATTAGAACGATCAAGTGTTCTGGGATTCCCATTCTTCTCAGAGTCAGCCATAGTTTGTTATGATCCACACAGTCAAATGCCTTTGCAGTCAATGAAACACAGATAGACATTCTTCTGATACTCCCTGCTTTCAGCTAAGATCCATCTAACATCAGCTACAATATTCCTAGTACCATGACCCCTTCTAAACCCAGCCTGGACTTCCGGTAGTTCTCTGTTGATGTGCTTCCATGATTCATCTACTCACTAAAATTTGTGAGCAATACTCTCAGTGCTCTAGCAGTTACTTGTAGATCATGCATAGAATAGCAAGAAACTTGGGTTACCAGAAAACTTGCATGTTCTTGGCTGAAGGTGAACAAGGCTAATTCAATATCAGTCCCTGCAGCAACCTTATACACCATAACTAACTAGAGTATTGTTAACTGACTGTATATAAAATACTGTATATATTTTATAGAAAGGTACACTATTTTATATATACATATAATACAAAGCCACACTTCTAGTTTTTCCTCTATAAATTACACTGTAGCAGAGTCATCAATATTAGGGGTGATGGTATGAGATAACTAGATAAGATGGTAAATAGACACACAATATACTTTCATATAGCCATCAGGGAATACATTGTCAGGCCAACTGTGTAATAATCTTTAGGCGTCACTCTTCTACCGCTTCATGACTCGGACCTTGTGCAAGTCACTGAACTTTACTTTTCTCATCTGCAAAATGAAGATTGTTGTGTTAAATGAGATAATATATGGGGGGAGGGGAGTGCATTACAGAGTTACTGATGTCTAATCACCTATTAATAAATTGGCATTTTTCCATCCTCTGTGTCTTCCAACTCCTTGAATCCTGACGGCCTTCAGCCTTCAAATATAGGGCAGAGAAGCAGACCTCATCAAGCACCTAGTGGCCTCTAGTCGCTTCTGATTACTGCTGTGCTTTGAGGATGGGATTTTGATGTTGCAACAGTTTCAACAGCCCCAGCAAAGTCATTCAATCTTGCGTTCAATTGGCCGTCTTTGTGTGTATGTGTGAGGGTGTTGGGGATGGCTGAAGGCCATCTGACAGTTCAAGCGTCCTGACTTGAGAGGTAGGACACCAGTCATGGCTGCTTAGAGGCCAAATCAACTCTGTGGACATTGTTTGCAAGGGGACAGGAAGCTGGGTATTTGCCATAGGGTCAGTTGCAGAACAAATCCTGGTGTCGTCGGATCTGTTCCTGCCACTGCACGCCCATTCTCTTTAGACCTTAGATCTGAGAAGGTGAGTGTGGACTGCTACACCTGGCTCAGTCTGCAGGCAACCCCTGAACTGAAAGGAACCCTGGACGAGCCTGTGTAAATAGTCCATCTCTGTTCTTTTAAACTTCTCCCCTTTCTTACCTCCTTTGCCCCAAACTCCTTAAAATAGGTTTTTCTAGGTTTTTCTTTCTTATTTTTCTAATGTATGAGCTTTCTGGAGGGCGGAGCTGGGTGAATGTTGATTGAGAGCAATTAAGAGATTTTTTTTTAAATACAATTTTATTTTGTACTGGGTCCTTACAGAGATCATACACATTGTTTTTCACACCAAATCTTTCCCATTTCCTTAACCCACTCCTCCCTCCACCCATCAAACCATGCGATGCCATGATTATGCTCCTGCCCAGCCTCACCCCTCTGCTCTCCCCCTCCCCCACTTGGATCTGCATGTCCGTTTTACTAGTTATTGGTCTTATGGAACTGAGTTAGTTCACCCAGCATAATGCACTCCAGTTCCTCCATGTAGTGATTTTCTAAGTCAGAAAGCAATTAGAGATTGAGGCCTAGTGAAAAGAAGCTGTGTTGTAATCCCAAAGGCATGCAGTTTGAATCCACCAACTACTCTGGGTGAAGGATGGGTACTCTCTTCCTGCACGATTTTATTGTCTCTGAAATCCTGCTGGAGGGTCAGCTATGGGTGGGTTCAAGCTTAATAGCACACAACATTAGCAGCACACACAATCTCTCTCACCCTTGAGTATTCGTGTGGTCTTGGAATCCATTTCTGAAGTCCTCTTGTTTCTAATTTGATCCAGTTGACTGGTTCTATGGCCTTCTCTGTGATTCTGCCGGAGTTGGAGAAAGGCTCCAAGGCCTTTCCATGCACGGTTAAGTGTCTTCCCTTTTACATGGACTGCTCCCTTTGCTGAGGTAGGGTGGTGTGAAGAGCTCCCCTGCCCTGGTGGGTTCAGGGCCCACTCTCAGTCGCAGGAGGCCTCTTGCTTCCTTGGTGGGCATCTGTGTTCCTCTTCTGGGATTCTTTCCAGCACCAGCAGTGATCTCCTGATCTCCTGGACCTCTCTGTCTGGAAGCAGTGAGGGGTTGGAGGCACATTGATAGACTCTGCCAAGCAAACTCGCAGGAACACAGCAAAGGCATGTCAAACCCACTTTGCTGTCTCTCTTGGCCTCTCTGCAGGTCTCTGGATGGCCGACTGCAGGTGTCCCATCGGAAGGGGCTCCCCCATGTCATCTACTGCCGCCTGTGGCGATGGCCGGACCTGCACAGCCATCATGAGCTGCGGGCCATGGAGCTGTGTGAGTTCGCTTTTAACATGAAGAAAGATGAGGTCTGCGTGAATCCCTACCACTATCAGCGGGTGGAGACACCAGGTACAGGTCCCGTTCAGGGAGAGATGAATGTAGGTGGAGGGGAGGCTACAAGGTGTTTTGGGGTGCAGTGAAGGATAACTGCTGGGGGAGTCACAGTGTGTTTTGGGGTGCAGTGAGAGATGACTGCTGGGGCAGGGGAGGCCATGATGTGTTCCGGGGTGCAGCGAGAGATTACTGCTAGGGGAAGGGGAGGCTGCAGTGTGCTTTGGGGTATAGAGTCCTTGATGCCAGCTGAGCACCTTGCCGATCCGCCTCTGCTTTGTCCCCTGGGCAGTTCTACCTCCTGTGTTGGTGCCTCGCCACACCGAGATCCCGGCCGAATTCCCGCCACTGGACGACTACAGCCATTCCATCCCCGAAAACACTAACTTCCCCGCCGGCATTGAGCCCCAGAGCAATATTCCAGGTAAGCATGGAGGGGGCGTGAGCCTTGCCCACCCGAGAGGCGGGAGCCAACCCCCACCCCAGGCGGACAGTGGTCCACCCCACTCTGGCTTCCCTCTGTCACCACCGGGTTACCGCCTCTTGTGCACAGCAAGGCCCTGGGGGTCCTAACTCAGAACCGCATCCCGTGGCCTCAGCAACTCGTTCACTAATGATGCTTTTCTTGGCACTAAGGAGCAGTGTGACCCTTCCGCCTGGCCTCAGCGCATTTATCTTGGAAGCAGATATTGTGCTGTGTTCCTCCCACCACCCTCGCAGCATAGTGCTGGCATTCAGGCCAGATCCCCAGTGGTCTCGAGACCAGCAGGGGGTGGGTGGCCAAAAGCCCAAGGCCGAGAGTGAGCCAGGGTCCAGGCAGAGTGCAGCAGGCTGGCCCTGTGAGTAAACCAGGCATTGGGTCTTCCCTGAACTAGAGCTGCCTTTCTTTAGATTCCAGTCTAGGAGGGAAATGGAAACAGAATTGAAGTGTTTTCATTCTGCTGGGTAAGTATTTAAGTGTTTTCAGAAGCCCACCATTTACATGCAAATAATGTGTGAATGGCCCCCATTTCCCAGTCTGGGACATCTCTGCTTTGACAGCATAGTGCCTGGGCTGTTAGGTAATCTCCCTGCTGGGTTCCTTTAAGAGTACTCCAACTTGGTTCTGACCTTGTCCTGCCTGAATTGAGATTGGACTAAAAGTAGGTGAGTGGCCTGTGTGCTTGGACCAAAGCCTCATCCCCTTTTCCCCCACATACACCGTCCCTCTTACCAGCCTTTTCAGCCCTCCCCTGCGTGTTGCTGGTCTCCTTTACTCACTCAGCCGCAAACCTTAGCATCAGATTGTGGGTGGTCTGCTTCTGAGAAATAGAGCACAGTCTCTGCCTGTCATTGAACTTGAACCCAACTGGGAAGCTGAGACATATCCCTAACAAAGACAGAATAGCAACAACAGGTCTGCACGGGAGAAGAGAGTAGGGACCCATAGGGCAGGGCTGAAGCAGTAACTTTCGAGAATTGAGATCACTGAGGGCTGAGGTAAGTGTAGAGGGCTCTCCAGAGCAGGGACTTAAACTTGACCTAGAAGGTTAGGCAGAGATTAGCCTGGTAGATGCTCTAGAAACAAATCTACCTGCCTTGGGGAGTTGAAGTGTGATGTGAATAAAGGCAGTGACATTCAGGTTGAGAATGGGGAGGGAGACAAGAATGAGGCCAGCAGACCCAGGAGCTATGCCTTCTTTAACCAGGACCTCAGTGCCTCCAGCACCCGCCATTACAATAGTGCTCTGTCTGAGCATGTGCTCCTTGTGAAATCATCTCAGACTCTAAAACACTGGAGGTTATTTTATGATCAGTCTTCTCTGTGATTCCCAGAAACCCCACCCCCTGGTTACCTGAGTGAAGATGGAGAGACCAGCGACCACCAGATGAGCCACAGCATGGACGCAGGTGAGAGGTGTGCAGGGTGCACCCTGCATTGTAAGGGAACCCACCGTCCATTCTTCCATCCTCTTTCTCTTGCCTTTCCTCCTTCACTCGCTTGCCTTCTTTATTTTGTCCCTCGGTCCAGTATTTAAAGAGCAGCTTCTCTGTGCCAGGACTGTGCCGTCTGGAGGATAGATGAAGGGCCTGAGCTGCTTACGTTTTATGGCAAACACTGACAAGATAGCTGCAGTTATCAGGCATTCCATCCTCCCTAGTGGAAGATGTTCGTGGAAAATGAGCAGGGGCTCTAAGCAGGGCCACCACCTCGAATGTAGGAAGGAATTGCTGGAGACAAAGTCTGGGAGATGTGGAGGTGTTGGCCAAGCCATCAGGGCAGGCTGGGGGTGCACCAGGAGCCAGGAGGGCATGGGCAGGAGAAGTTGGAGATGTTGAAGCGGACTCCTCCAGAGCAAAGGAAAGAGGTGGGACCATCACACAAGGAGCAAGGCTGGAGGTTGAGCTGGCATTTAACCCATGGGTGAGGAAAGCTGCTGCAGGCTTTTAGGAGGATCTGCACATCAGTGAGCTATGTGGCTCCTAATAGTGTGGATTGGCAGATGGGGGACCGTGAGCTTCACTGCTAGTTCACAGAAGTAGTTCAGGGGAAGGGAAAGCCTGCGTGGAAGCAAAGTCTTTGCTGCTACTGAGGGAGGGCCCTTGAAGCAACTGTTTTTGTGTGGTGACCTAATGTGATCCACGTGCTCCTTGCCATGAGGGACCTGGCCCAGTTCTCTCCAGCCACATCTCCAGATGTTCCCGTGTCATCTGTTGTGGGCTTTAGTTGGTGCCAAACCAGCAGCTTCTTGAATTGCACCCCAGCTGCCACACGGGATGTGTGCTTGGGTGAGAAGGATGAGGGAGCCAAGCAGATGTTCCATTCCAGTGACGACGACAAGCTTGCCGTGTACGCATGCAGCCACCTGCCTTTACGCGAGGCCTAAAAGAGACTGTCTCACTTCCTGAGACAGGAATGAGAGTGACTCCCATAAACATTGTAAACATGCAGTTGGAATCTGTCTTGGGCATTGTGGCACTCCCAGGTTTAGCATTCCCCAGTCTTCCTCGAGTGGGGCAGGCGGGAGGCAGTGTAGGCCCTTTTGAAGGGCATTGAAGGCCTCCCATTGGTTTGATGCCAGGTGACTGCTGCAAGCTTGCAGCTATAAAATGCTGGCATGGGAAGCCGGCCAGCTAAGCAGCATCTCTCCAGATGCTGTGTTCCTTCTCACTCTCCTTCTCTCGACCCACCTTGCTGCTCTTGGTATTTGTACAGTGATTACTGTTATAAAAGGAAAACAGACCAAAGTAGAAGGTTGTTAATGGAAGGAGCAGCTTCGTTTTTACTCTCAGCTCTTGTTTTCGTCTCCCTTGTTCATTTTGTTGCTGTTTTCTCTGCCCCCTCTCACATCTTTTCTTTCATCCTCTAAGTATAGCTGCAGGGCTGTGCTGTGAACGTTGGTGATTTATTTGAAAGGAGATGGAGCTCTGTGGATCCCAGCCAGCCCCTTGGGGGGCAATGTCTTCTATTTATTCTATGTTCTCCATGCCAAGTTGCCCATTTGGAAACCAGTCCAGCTGTCTCTGGGCTTGGTTTCCCTGCCAGCTGAGGTATGGGCGCATCTCAGGCAGGGCTGTGGAATTACCTTGTCTGTCAGTTTTATAACCTTCCCAGAGCTTCGTGGCTCAGACTGCTACTAAACCAGAAAAGTGCATACTAAATTCAAAGCCCCAGTGGTCCAGTGGTCAAGAGCTCATCTACAAAATGAAAAGTTGATGGTTCAAACCCACTTAGCAACTCCATTAGAGAAAGACCTGCCAGTCTACTTCCAGAAAGATTATAGACCAGAAAAATCAAATGAGGCAGCTACTTTGTCACGTAGAGAGCTCTGGTGGCCTAGTTTTAAGAAGCTGCGCCATAATCCTGAAGACACATGGTTCAAATCCACTAGCTGCTTCTTGGGAGAAGGATGGGCAATCTCTTCTCATGTAATTCACTGCCTCTGAAAACCTGCTGGAGAGTCAGCTATAGGTTCCAACTCAGTGGCATACAACAACAACTTTGTCACATGGGGTACTCTGAGGGGGTGTGGGCTCAGTGTTGCCTAACAACAACACTGCATGCCAGTAGGTCCCTAGGTGGAATAAACAGTTCACACTGGTGGCGTAGTGCATGTTGGCGGTTTAAATCTACCAGCTACTCTGCTGGAAAATAATGGGCAATCTCCTGTCCTAAAAACTTACAGCCTTGGAAACCCAATGGAGGATCTCATGAGTTAGAATGAACTAGACAGCAGTGGATGGGTATTGACCCGAAGATTGGCAGCTCAAACCTGTCTACTGTAAAAGAAAGACTTCATGTTGTGCTCATGTCTCAGGCAGTGAGTACAGCCCTGTGGAGGAGTTCTGTGCTTTGAGTCAGAACTGACTCAGTGTCTGTGAGTTTGGTTTTTTACATTTTACTCTGTACCTGCCATGGTTGTTGTATGTTGTTTAGTTACTCGCAACAGCTATTGAGTTGCTGTACAACAGCTCAGAAGCCTGCCCTGTCCTGAGCCAGTCTCACTGACTCTGACACACCTAACCCCATTGCCCCAGTTACTGAGTCAATCTATCTTATTCGGGGTCTTCTCTCATGCGCTGTCCCTCCACTCTTCTGAGCATGATTTCCTTCTCCAAGGACCAGTCCCTCCTGGCCATATGCCCAAAGTATGGGAGACAGAGATTTGATATCCTAGCCTCCAAGGAAAAACTTGGTTTCACCCTCTCCAAGACAGACCTATTTGTTTTCTTGATGGTCCATGGTATGTTCAAGACTCTTCTCCAGCACTACAAGTCAAAGGCATCAATTCTTCTGCCATTCATAGTCATTGTGCAGCTCTCTGCTGCATAGCCATGGCCTGGATCAGGCGCACTTTAATCCCTAGACTGACATCATTGCTTCTCAATACTCTGGAGAGGTCCCTGACAGCAGATTTTCCCAGTGCCTGCCATAGTACTATGATTTTTATATGCAAAATCAAATTAATTTTCATATATCATCAAACAGATGATATTATTCCCACTCTATGTCTCAGGGAAAACGTGAATGCTCAAAGTAGTTAAATGATTACGCTAGTCACATCAAAGTTGATGTGTCTGTAAACTGGGCCTGAGAGTCAATCTCTGTTCCTTCTAGTAATTATTCCAAATCTCCTGAGGAATATCGTTTTTTGGGAGTTTTTGTTGCTGTTGTGTACTGTCAAGTCAGATTTGACTCATAGCTGAGAATCCAGTCAGTTTTCAGAAGCTATAACTCACACAGGAGGAGATTGCCCATCTTTCTCTCTCAGAGCAGCTGGTGGATTTGAACTGTGTGCCTTTGGGTTGGCAGTGCAGTTCCTTACCACAAGGTCACCAGACCTCCCAGGAAGGGGAGTCCATGACTCATCTCTTGCCCTCAGGGCAGTTGCAGTTGAACTGCAGAGAAGAAACAGGTAGCTGTGAACAGTTTAGGATGATAATATGCCTGAGACCAGCTTCAGGGCCCAGCCAGAAGCTCCGGTCAGTTTTGGGCCCTGTGACCTGATGAAATCAGGGAGTAAAGAGTGTGACCAAGTCAGCCTCGCTGTCCCTGACAAAGCCAATGCCACTGAGTCCTCAAATAGGTTCCTTCTCATGGAGGCCCCCGTGTATGTCAGAACAGAACTGCATGTCATAGGGATTTTTTTTTTAATTTTCGTGTGCGTGTACCGTCAAATCAGATCTGACTGGTACAGGAGGAGATTGTCCCTCCTTCCCCGGCAGAGCATCTGGTGGATTCAAACCGTGTGCCTCTGGGATTGTAGTTGCAGCTCCTTGCCATTAGGCCACCAGAGCTCCCCGTCATAGGGATTTTGATGGCTGTGACTTTACAGCAAATAGATCTCTGTGCCTTCTCCCCACCCCCACCCCAAAGCTGGGTGGATTCCAACCACCAGCTAGTAGCCAAGTGAAAACTCTGCACCACCCGTGGGCTTAAGCCAGGCCCCCCCAGGATGTGCATAAGTAACTCACTCTTCAGAGCCACATAGCTACTGGGGTAAATGAGCAACAAGAAGATTGCTGCTTTGTAGAAAGCCAGGCTTTTTTAAAAAAAAAATTGAAATGACTGTTTGTCATGTGATGTTTTTCCCTGTTTCAAATACAGAAAGTGGAGAAAGGGTGATAGAGTCAGTAAGACTTGGATATGTTTGGACTTTTCCCCATGTGTGCAGTGATATCTTACGTAAAATGCCAGTCTGCTGAGTTGCAGGATTTCTCAGGCAGGTCTGTGCACTTCCTGAAACCTGAAGAAAGGGTGGAAAATTGGTATTTCCAGCTGCACAGCAGCATCTGAGAACAGTGACTGATGCGGTGTGGGCAGCATCAAGGCCCACCTATCTGGAAGGCTCACCTTGCCCTGTCTGGACCTTTAAGCTGCTGAGAGAGGGGCCTCCCTGTCTCCCCTGTGTTCGTGGTAGGGTGGTGAACAGGGCAGGTCTGTGTAGGCTAGAGGAAGAAGATGCTGCTCTTCCTAGTTGAGAATTCAGCAGCCCTGTGTGATGGGTCTTGGTTAAGATCATCAAGCCAAATCCTATGGTTACCCCTCAGACCGAGAAGAACATGCATTCAGACAAGGTAATGGGGTCAGGCCTTCTCTTCTGAAGGGTCAGAATTTCAGTCTGGGTTTATTCCTGCTTTGTTGCATGACTCCGTGCGTCTTGATGGTTGCATCCAATAGTTTGGTGCTCCAGACCAGTCATCTGCTATGAAATCTCACGGTTGTATCTTGCCTTACAGGTTCTCCAAACCTATCCCCAAATCCGATGTCCCCAGCACACAACAACCTGGGTGAGTATCTCCTGGTCTGTATCTTTGTAGTCCACTCTAGCAGCAGCCCTGGCTGGTGACTTGGGACTGGGAGGGGGGGAGGAAAGGAGTGTTTGCTGAAGGTAAAGCTCTCACCTGCTCCCCCCCTGGATTGGCTCAGCCCCTTGGGTGTCTGGTTACAGTGATTCTTGGGTCACTCACAGAATGGGGAAACCTGAGAACAGTGGTGGCAGGAAAGGCAACTGTGTGCTGGTTTATATTTCCCCTGGGTTCTGGTTAGACATGAGTGAATGAATAGCCCCCAAACCTTAATGCCCGAGAGAGGGTCTGTGGTCAGCCAAGCATTCGTGTGTGGTTTGATTGAAGGCCGTGAGCAGCTCAGCAGGATCCAGCCCCTAACTTTTGGAGACTTATTCTAGTTACACGCCTTTGGATTTTATCCAAGCACTTCATCTTAAGAATATGCCATTAAAAAAAATAATCGGGTAAAAGGAACTTTGAAAGGAGTTAATGTGCTCATGATCCTGCCACCCTATTTTCATTTGACCATATTCCTTCTGATGTTTTGTGTTGGAGATTGAACTATCTATCTAATCATTACATTCATAGTGTATATTTTTCTCATTGGTTTAATTTTTCCTCTTTACATGGTTTTGTGAGCACATTTCCATGGTTTTTATGTCATCATTTTGAAGTCCCCAGTGGTGCAAATGGCTTTCCCTGACTGCTAACCTGAAGGTTGGCTAGCTGGATGCAATGGGCAGCACTGCGGAAGAAAGGCCTGGTGACCTGCTCTCCTAAAGATGGTCACTAAGAAAACCTGATGGAGCTGCATTTCTACTGTGTAACACGTGAGGTTGCCATGAGTAAGAATCAACTGAGTTTGGTTTTTTGGTTTATTATTCTGAATTGTCTCATGGTGTACTGAAGAAGAAGGACTGTGATTTCTGTGGCCACCCTTCTATGATTGGAATTCAGGTCCGTTTTTCCGAGGGTCACTATTAGAATCCAGGAGCTACGATTCAAATCCACCAGATGCTCTGCTTTAGAAGGAGGGGCAATCTCCTCCTGTACTGGTCAAATCTGATTTGACGGCGCGCGCGCACGCGCGCACGCACACACACACACACACACACACACACACACACAGAGAATTCAGGAGCTTAGAATCCAGGTGTCCCTGAGTTTTCCCAGGTGGGAGGGGGTCTTGTCTCACTCATTCATGGCTTTGCTTATGAGCGTACCAAGGACTTAAAGCAAATGGTGTATCTGTTTAGCTTTTATGATGGGAAGGGCTTTTGGTTTTGGTTTTAAATGTTCTAATCTAGTAATTGTAGAAAATGTGCACTTGATTTAGTTTGAGCTTTTATTGCTGGGACTTAGTTTGTGGCTTAGGAAAGGAAATAGTTAATATCCAGGCTCGGTGAAAAAGAATGGATTGGACCAGCTTGTGCTCCCTTTTTATTTCCGGTCCCTGGCTGCCAGCATTAGATGAAGAAACTCATTATTTGGAATATTAGGAAGTGCTTGGAAACTGTCTAAAACCAGCTGACAAGTGGACAGTGTGAGATGTGACTTGAAGAGATCTGTTTTGGCATCTTGGCAAAATAACCATGTTGAGTCCTGGGCTTTGCAGGGGGAAGGTCACATTCCTGATGCAAAGGAACAGTTGGAGTTATTAAAAACAAACTCTGAGGCTAGAAGCAGTGTTAACACTTGAGAAATTAAAGGCCATGCTTGTGAACTTGACTCTGAGCTTTTGAGGTTGACTGGTTTAGGTTTAATTTCTGAGCTGCTTTACCCCACAGTGGTCAAGGCAACACTTTTAGTCATCAAACCTTAGAGCAAGCACTTGCCTTTGAAACCTTCGAGGTCAGCTTGGAGGCCGTGGCTTCTCCACCACGGTGATTCAAACTGAAAGTTGTCCAAGGGAGGCTGTGCTCTGAATTCCTCTCTAGACTGTATAGATGAGGATGGCAGGGTAGGTTTTTGAGTTTGAACTCAAGGCAGAGTCCCCATTTGGCACAGTTCTCTGTTCCTATAGCTTTGTCTTCGAGCTGCTTATCTTAGAGACAGAATTTTTAGGTGCTTAAAGGAACAGCTCCCAAGCCTGGTTTTCAGAGTGCATTTGCCACTTTGCCTTGAACTAGTTACAGGTCTACTGGGAAGATCTGAATCAAAGGATGAGTCAAGGATGTGTTTGGGGGCGAGTCAGTAATCGAGTCAAGGCTAGATGCTAAAGCTAACAGACCCCACTTCCTTTCTGCTTGCGAGCCCCACACACCCACCTACAGCTCATTCAAAACCATTGACTTCATCCCTGTCCAGAAAGTCAAATGGATTCCCCAGGGTCATAGTGATGATGCTGATGGCAAACAATTATTGAACACTCACCATTTACTGAGCACTGTATTATTCAGAGTGCTTCATGCCTTTCAACTCAATTACTCTTCATTGCAACCTGATAAGGTAGTTGGTTTTGTTGTTCATTGCTGTTGAGTCACTTCTGACTTATGGTGGCTCCATCTCTGCAGAATAGAACTGCTTCCTAGGGTTTTCAAAGTCATGACCTTTCAGAAGCAGCTCATCAGACCTGTCTTCCAAGGAGCCTTTAGGCAGGTTTGAACTGCCAGCCTTTCAGCTAGTAGTCAAGTGCTTAATTAACTGTATCACTCAGCCACCTTATAAGGTAGTGATAAGTTTAAAGTATTAATAAAAGTTTTCATATTGTTGTTGTAGTTGTTGATTGCCTTCGGGTCAAGCACAACTCATAGTGACCCTATGAACAAAAGGCCTGAAGCCCCTCTACAACTATCAACATTTATCAAAGTTCATGGAGTTTCCAGAGGCATATTGTTTAGGAAGTTTTCATATTACAAGCCAGAAAATCAAGGGCTGGACTGGTGAATTCTCATGTCCTGTGTCCCACAGGAAGTAGTGGAAGGAGCTGACATCAAACATTGGAGTCCAGAGCACTTGTTTCCACAGTGAGCATGACTCTGCTTTGTAGAGTTTAGACCAGCTCCTTGCTTTCTCACTTGGAAGAACAAGACTCAGAGAAAGGCATTTTGTTCATGTTTTAACAACATATAAAGGAGTCCTAGTGGTGTCATGGTTAAAGAGTTAACCTGTTTACCAAAAGGTGAGCAGTTCAAACCCATAAGCTGCCCCATGAGAGAAAGGAGAACAACAATCTGCTTCCATGAAGATTTAGTTTTTTAAACCCTCTAGAAGGTTTCACCCTAGAGAGGGTGAGGGCAGGCTGCTCCTTGGAGGCAAGGATTCTGAAGCTTCCTCTGACATACTTTGGACATGTTGCAAGGAGGAACCAGTCCTTGGAGTGGGATGTCATGATTGGGAGGGTGAAGGGACAGTGGAAGAGAGGAAGAACCTTAATGAGATAAATTGACTCAGTGACTGAGGTAATGGGCATAGGTGTGTCAGAGAAAATAAGGTTGGCTCAGGATAGAGCAGGGTTCAGAGCTGAGTCACAAGCAACTCAGTGGCACGTAACAACAACCGAATAGTCCTACTCAGTCCTGTAGGGTCACTGTGAATCCGAATTGATTCAGTGGCAGTGGTTTTGGGGTTTAGTTGGGAACAGATGTTAGATTGAGAACCTATACAGCGCCTGGGCAGGAGCCATGCTTGTGTGTCTCTTCCTTCCTCGTTCTTTCCCTACACACACCGCTGTGTGCTGGTCCAGGTGGAGGGAACTCAAGGAGAAACCACAGACCCTGCCATCAAGGTGCTTATGGACTTACTGGGACTGTAAATAACCGTTAAATAAGAAGTAGGAGTAGCTGATGTGCTTTGAAGCTACAGAGAGGAAGAAGCCATGGCCTTCCAGTAGGACACGCATCCCGGCTTCCTGGACAGCTCCTGTGTATTCATGCTTTCAGCCAGTGTGTGTGAGTTCCTGGCACATACTGATGCTGGGGGTGCAGAGCTAGGGGAGCACTTGGACATCTGTAACTGGGGAGTCTGGAGCTATCCACGTCCAACTGTGTTGCAGAGTGCTAGGTGTCAGGGGAGTAAACTCAGAGGAGGGAGGACCTACCATGCCAAAGAGGAAAGTTCTGCACGAGGGGAAGGGGAAGGCCTCAGAGAAGTTGTTCCCATCTGTGAGCTGGACCTTAGAGGACAAGTGGATATTGGGAGGTGGGGCTAGAGGGAAGGACTCTGGACATGGGAAGTATTGCTTAAAAGAGCAGGGCATGCTTTGGGGACAGCATTAAGCAGGCTGCAGAGCTGCAGTAAGATGTCAGAGGAAAACCTTAGAGAGTTTGCAAAGAGAGGAAGGAACTGAAGTTGGTCAGTGACGGACTGATGGGCAAGTGAAAGGTGAGGATGTGGAGGCAGTGGGGCAGATGTGGCCTTCACGTTCAGTGTGCCCCACACTGGTGAGTCAGCAATGGGTACACGGTGAGCTTGTCCTAGGAAAAGACCAGAGAGTTGCAAAAGGCAAAAACCACAGGACTGGGTTCCTTCTTTCATCTCCTTTCCACTTCAGGTATTTGCCCTGGAGCTCAGGTTTGAGAATGTCGAGCTTCCTGCTGCAATAAAACTCAGGAGTGGTGGGAAGGACCGGTGACTCAGGCGAGGCACCCCAAGTTTGTGGTTGAGACTCCACTGGATACCTGGCCTGAGGCAGCCTCTGGGGCATCCCTCAGGTTTTGTTTTGCAGGAAAAGGGATATGAGCAGGTATGTTCCTGTTATTACACATCGCCACTGGCTGAGTCACTTGGAATTTCCTAAGCAGTTCAGTCAGTGGGACTGGGGCAAGCAGAGGGGAAGGAGAGGAAAAAGATAGCGAGCTGGATCCTGCTAGGTGAGTAAATTGTTCCCTGCTGTAAAGTGAGGCATTTAGGGAGAGGCCTTGACTAAGGAAACTGAGGTGCCTGGGAGTGCCTGAGCAGAGCAGCAGCTGAGCTAGAGTTCCGAGAGATGTTGAATTTCCCAGAGTGCGTGGGGGCAGGTGGGGTTCTTCTGCCAGGAGAGAGAAGTGCACTGCAAGACT